AAAGATATCATTAGTACTTGTTACTATTAATCTGTTTCCCAAGGCCACTGTTGAATTTTTGCCCTTTATTTTTCTTATATCACAAAGTGGAAAAGTACTAATACTCAAGAATTCAATGTCTCTAGGATTTCATTCAACTTTTCCTTACTTTTTTAGACTATTAGAAGCAAATTGAACTTTTTTCATATATTCTCAAAGTGTAGAGAATTAAAAATGACTGCAAAAATAATTTCTAAATTTAACTTTATACAACTATAAAGGTACTCCTAATTTGCAATGTATTAATGAAATGTTATTCTCTTTACTCTGATGGTCACACTGAGTTCATACTCTTATTTAATTCATCAAAGGATATCTATCTCTGCCTTTTTACTTCTTTTATTTCCTGTTGGTAAAGTAGAAAAGCATAAAGAAAACGATGGATATTCATTTCTGTGCGCCTACAATAAACTAATTTATGTCTTTCAAACTGTAAAAAATCATCTGACAACATAATTAAACATCAAAAATTCTCCCTTGTTTCTTGATGAATCTCTAAATATATTAAAAAGATTTTATCAAACCTGCTCATTTACACACTAAAATATCAAAGAAAATTTGGACATATGGAGACTAATTTGGGGGAAATTAAGAGTTTTCTCTCAACACCAGGAGAGTTGTTTGACTTGGAATATACTGCCAGGTTTTTTAGAATATGACACAAAAACAAATTTTGTTAAAACAATCTTGGACAGTCAGAAAATGCCTATGACCAAATCTGTGAGTTTTGCTATATGCATTCTGGAAGAAAACTGTTAATCATTTCCCAAAAAATTAGGAAACTACGTTCTAGAACTCTAAGGTCTCCACTGATAAGACGTAATAAAATTATAGTAGTCATTTAGTGTTCTACCCATATCCCTTAGAACTTACCACTTTACTTAAACAGGTGTAACTTCCAATTGCCACTACCTGCAATTCTTTGCTGAGGGCTTTTGTTATTGTTACTGCTTGAAGTGCCTGCGAAACTGCTACAGGAACAGCCTTCCTCCAAAAACTGATGAGATTTGATGTACAAATACACCAACTTCCTACTGTCTCAAATGGATTAATTCTAAGGCATGTATTTTACACTGCCCCCCCAAATTTCCCTGGTAATATTAATCTCCAATCTTCCACAATTGTAAATTCCTTTTTTTTTTTTTTTGGTGCAACAGCAGTATCTGATTATTCACTGGCACTGTATATTTAATAATACATCTAATTATCTCTGGAACTTTCTAAACCATATAAGAATCTTAACTAGAAAGCTTAAAAGTAATCTTAAATTTTGTTCAGTCACAGAACAAGCCATGATTATATCATAGTATGTCCAGAATATATACTCTGTCACCAAAGAAACAGAATATCAGAAGGGAATTTTCTAATCATTTTAGAGTATTGTATCTAAAACCTACAAAATACTTAGAATCCTATCTCCCTTTCCAAAGGAAATTGATTTTTTCCTCCTAATGATTACAAGTCTTTCAACCAAAAGCTGTTTTTAAATTTTACTAATAATGTCATTGTGAATTAATTTACTGTGTACATTGTGGGATGGATAAGCATAGGAGCAAGTCAAAAATATCCAATCCAATTTTTATATCTTCACCAAAGATGGAAAAAGCATTTACTGAACAATTACCAAAAAAAAGGGGGGGGGGAGAAATCCCACAGAAAAGTACATAATATTAGGCACTAGCCACACAATGACAGTTAAGTAGTTCACCAACTGAAAAAAGAACTAACTAAATCCAAATTAAAAAAAAAAATTTGTCCTCACAGCTAAAGATACATTATATTGTTCTCAAAATACAATGCCAAAATTAATTTAAAAAATGAGAATCTTTGCAATAAGAAATCTATGAATATTAGTAAAATTATTCAAAACAAAATTTAAAATTCTATGTTTGGAGAGGTATATAAAATTATGACATGTCAGATTAAGTAGCAAAAACCCACATACCAAAAAATTATTAATAATTCAGTGCATTAAAGTATGCAAAGTTATTATATAAATCAACTAGTATTGATTTGAATTAATGAGTTTAACCTAAAAAAGTGTACTTGACCCCTACATATACAGAAATGGGTTTTAATAATCAATGCATCACATTCTTAAATGTGAATGATTCAAGGGCACAGAAGTATGTCTTAAAGAATAATAAACTTCATACAGACTTTCTTTGCCTAAACAAATATATGCTTCACTGACATCGGTTTAAGTGGACTATGAGAAAAAAAGAGAGCTAATCTGAGAAATAAACTATGCAAACCTGAACTGAGTTTTTCTTTTTTTCTGGTCACTTTATTTAAATTTTCTTCAATAAACTGGCAAAGATCACAAGAAAAAAACTCAGACAGACATTTCTGATGCTTTGTATAAAAAGTGTTTCAAGAGTTTGAATTTCCTTACTTGTGTATGATTTATATAAATGTCTGCACTTAATGTTTTCACACTAAACTCAAGCATTAAATGCAAATATTAAAATAAAATGTTTTAACCAATGATTAACTATATGCTTGCTATATCAAATAATTTTTGTATAAAATATGGTTTCTACTCTTACTAGGTATTAGATTAAGATTAATATATATATTAGCAGGTCATATATGATAAAATATGATTAATGGTAAATTGTATGGTAGAGTTTGTTATAGAAAGAAACTAGTAATGAAGGAGACTTAATAAAGATTAAAATAGTCCAGAAGATAAGACTTTTTAAATTTTGTTTCTAGATTAGGAGATAAAACTGTCCATTATCTCTTCTCAGTTAAAAAATAATGTACTTGGGCCCTCCCTGGTGGTGCAGTGGGTTAAAGCACAGCACTAAGAAGCTAAAACCACTTCTGCATGAGTTCGATCCCTCCCTGCCCCGGAGGTGACCCACATGGCGACAGACCTCTCCTGACCTGCCCGCTGCTCCCCTCAACAGTGTACTTCGACCTGCCTGTTCTGCTCCCCACTCTGTCTCTGGTGAATCCTCTCACCACCCCCATCTCTAGCCTGTACCCCAATTCTGTATGGATAAATAAATCTTAAAAAAAAATAAAATAAAAAAATAATGTACTTAACATTTTATTAAATTGAGTTAAAGTATTATGAATATAAAAGTTAATAAATTTCTGGGTTTCTTTTAGAATATAAGTATATAATAATTATTATGCTTTAAAATATTGGTAAAATTGCATGACCCAATAGAAAGAGTGTTAAGTTTAAAGTCACACAAAGAACTAGCAAGAACCCCAGCTATATCACTTATTAGGCTTCTTCCCTCCCTTCCCCACCCACTGCCACAAATTATGCAGGGCAGTTTCCTACATTTGCAAAAATCACAGATCAGCACATTTAAGTGCTGTGGATAAGACTTGCCTGGGAAAGCCAATGCCAGGTTAGTTATTTTGACTTTTTGACCCAGGGCAATTACTTAACCATGCTGAGTCTGTTTCTTCTTAAGCCGAATAAAGATAACAATTAACTCTCTAAGTTGTTGCAATGATTAAATAAGATATTATATGCAAATTAAATAGTACAATGTGAATAAAATTACCTGTATTCAATAATAATAAACTCCCATGTTGAAACAAATTTCCAATCTAGTGACAACAGAATGCCAAAAGAATGGAATGCTTCCTTCACGTTACATTTTATTATCACTATAAAAGTACTATACTGTCCTATTTATTAGTAAAATGTGATGTGCTAAGCTTCTAATAATGATTGTCATTCATCTTTGAGAATTTTATAAAAATAATGTATGTTTTCCTCCCAAATATTACATTCAGGTTTCTCCCACTATTTGAATGTAGACAGTTCCTCCTTGGTTATGACTTCATAGACTATTTTCTGGGTCTGGAAACAATCAAATTTTACCAGACAAATTAATGGTAATAGTCTTCAAAGAACCAAAAAGTAATCTACCAAATAGAAATGCTCTATTTCTGGAAAGCTGGAGAAACGAATGTTGTGCACAATAATTTGTATCAATTTAAGGACATTAACAGTTATCCTGTAAACTAGATGGAAAACAATATTCCACCTGGTCATTTAAATTAAAATTAATTCTAATTAAGTAAAATTAAAAATTCAGTTCCTCAGTTGTACAAGCCATACTTCAAGTGCTCAACAGTCACACCTACTGGCTATAGTACAGCATTTCCACCACCTCAAAACTTTATCAGGCAGCAGTGTTCTGTAGTGTTATAGTTTGGTTATTTTTGTTTTGTTGTAGTTTTTCTTTCAACTTCTCTTTCAAGTAGACTCCCAAAAGAACAGGGACTGTGAATATTATGCCCACAGCTGAATCTCTAGAGTCTAGCACACAGTAAGCATCCAAATGTTATCTTACAGCTGACATTGTTCTGAATTGATTAATCTATCAAAAAGTGACCAAACTGCTAAGGACAAGAACTGAAAGGTGTGAATACAAGGAGTATATGTAAATAAACTAAGAAGAAAAAATGTAGTTAGTCAACTGATAAAATGTCTATGTGGACATTTAAAGTTTTTGAGTTATAGCTACAAATATTGGCTAATCTAAGCAGAAACTTAGGCCTTACTCAGTCTATACTAGTCAAGATAGCAAAACCTTAATGTGTAGTTAATTATCTTTTAATATTCCTGTATGGATTTTCCTGGATAGAGCAGCTGAGTAACTTATTTTTACTAGTAAACAGATATGTAAATATATATATTAGTAGTAAATATTAGCACTATTATTTTATTATTTATTATTAGTAGTAAATATTAATAAAAACTTAATACTATTAACAGTAAATATCAATACTATAAATGTATACACACATATTCACATACAGTAGTTTAACTAATGAATAAAAAGAAACAATCTTCAAATTCACCAAAGTTTTATAAGTGAAAAATTATGGAATCAGAATTAAAATTAAAAATTTTTAACATATTTGAAACAGACAAAATTCTATACACGTAATGCTAAGAGGTCTAATAATAATTTTGCACTTACACTGCCACATTTTTTCTAATGGCATATTCATCCGAATCGTCATCAGAGCTGCTATCAGTTGCATCAGAATCGAGACCCTCTTCAACATGAGACAACAGCCCTGTAGCAGACAGTGCAAATCTTTGGATTTCTGCAGCTGTACACCGTGCAAAGCCATTTTTTGTATCATTCCACAATTTATTTTCTGTAGTCAATATGTTGACTTCTGGCTTAATTTCAGTGCATTTAGGTAAACTATTATCCAAAATTGTGGTAGGTTCATGACAGATCTTCATTTTGGGGAGTTGTTGTTTCATAGAAAATTTCATTTGCTGACCATAATGCTTAACGACATGCTTTGCCAGAAGCATCTGCAAATGTTTCTGAGTTCTTCTAGCCTGGCTAAGTAAAATTTTCTGTTTGCTTACACAATGAAGCAAACGAGCATTCACTTCCTCCTGTTTTTCAGCAGTTGAGGAACTAGTAGGCAAATCTGAGTGGCCAGGCCAAATTTTCTTTTGAGCACAGTGCAATAAATTCTTTTTAATCTCAGCATCAGTAACTTTATCCAAAAGTGTATTCTTTTGGTACCATTTACATTTTTGCAATTGTACTTTATCTACATTAGTGTCTTTGGTTATATTTGAATCCAAAATAATCTGTACATCTGTACACTGGCTTGTGGTATCTGACAAAGGCTCTTTTTTGATGAACTCTTCAGAATGAGAATGACATATTTTACTGAGCTGAATGTTGCTGCCATTACACAGTATATTTTTCAGCTTATTGCAATTGGGTTCCCCTAGTTTCTTTTGTTTGTAATTCTCATTGTATTTATTTAATGTAGAATTAGAACTCATTAAAAGTACTGTCTGATAATGTTTTGAAGACTGAGGGGAGCCAAAATGTTTTAAATTCACAAAATTAGTGTTAAGAGTAGGTTCAGGAGTTGGAAATCCCAGCATCTGAGAGAAAGTATCTCCCTTTAGCTTTTCATCTACAGTTCTTGGACTTTCCATGCATAGCAGCTTGTCAGAATCCATGGTACTTGGCAAAGATGAAAAGCAGATACCCTTTGCTGCTGCCTCCCTTAGAGCTGGTGTCATGGCGAATCCTGCAGATAATTATTGGAAACCTAAAATAATGTAAAAATAAAAAATCAAATATCTAGAAAATGTTTTATGCTTATGTTTCCCAAGGATGACACTTCTGATTAAAACATGAATGGAATCAGTCATCTTTTACTTCCCAACTCCCAGCATTTTCTCTGCTTTTTCCTACCTGGTTAGGAATTCACAAAAACTAAACTATTTATCGCTCTATAAGCCAAAGTTACAAGTAAAGTTTCATACCACCCACCACTACACATGGTGACAAATGTTAGTGGATGTAACTGCATCTCAGGATTAAGTTTTTGACAATGTTTAATGCATCAAAAAGAAAGGAAAAATTCAATCCTGAATCTGGGACTCATACTTGAAAATGTAACAATCCCATACTTTCAGCCAAAAGTCAGAATTACTTATCATATAGAATATAGTAAATTTCTCAAAATCTCAATTTGACTTCACAATCTGAGCAGTATTAGTGACAATAACAGTAAAAAATAAATAATGTAAGAAGATATAAGTGAACTAAACTACAAATAAATGTTTATAACTTCACAGCTGCTAAAATAACATGACAGTTAAAAACTATCCTAACTCTTCAATTTGGATAATTTTTCCTGGAAAAGCATTTACAATAAATTTTTCCCTTTTCACAAATGGAGTCATCAATTATCATTATAGAAGCTATTACTGCTGCCTGGACAATAGTAACAGATGACCACAAAGATTAATATCATTGTTAAGCATCTCATTATTTTATCAAAATAAAAATTATAAACCATATAATTCTGATTCACAGAAAAGTTAACACAATATTATTAAAAATTACTAAGTGGTGGTTACTAAAAAAATTTTATATTAACAATTTAAATTTTGTGAAGATACTTTGACACTAAGATACTCTGCTGTATGTCCCAGGGTTCTAACTACACCTACTACTCCTATTTACAAACAAATCATAAGCTGATTTTTTGCAAAAATTAGAAAAAATGAACAATGAGAGAGAAAAGAGGCATAAAAATTTCTATGTGTTTAAACCAAGTGATAGATTAAAGATATCTGTAATATATATTATAAAGGATTAGTATCTGAATAGGTAAAGTACTCATGCAAATTCGCAATGGATATTTGCAGTGAGCTACTTCTGATGACATCCAAAATCATTAAACATGTACTTAATCTCACCAGCAATGAAGGAAATGGAGATCAAACAAGCAAGAGACCAAACAAGCTTTCCAAACATCAAATTGAGAGTGCTTTAAATCCAAAAATATCACTTATCTCAAGGATGTGGATAAATAAAATTTCTCTAATCTATTTGGGCTATAATTGATTCAGAACTTTGAGGGTAGCATGGAAAATATATTTGTCACAGGTAGACAAAAGATCAGTGTTTATAATAGAATGGATAATGAAACAATGAAATACTATAAAGCAGTTTAAAAAGGACTTAGCTCTCTTGAGATTTCCAAGATCTACTAGTTATGACGGACAACTTATAAAATGACTTTAGTAAACCCATTTTCTGGTGTTCCCACCTCATATAATCTCATCCTCCTGACTATGGACTGGACCTAGTGACATGCTTCTAGAAAATACAATGAAGCAGAAATGAAGGGATGTTATTTTGAAGATTAAGTTACAAAGAGATTATAGATTCCATCTTGTTACCCATTTATACTCTCATTCAGGGATACCAGCTGTCAATTTGTTAACTAATAAAGAACTAAAGTATCCAATTAACAGCAACAATGAAATAAAGTCTGCCAACAGTCATGTACTGAGAAGAATGATCTCTGAAGCATCAGTCTCCAATCAAGCCTTCAGATGAGAACTTGAGTCAAAAGCACCCAGCTAAACCAGGCTTAGATCAGGACCCAGAGAAACTGTGAAATAAATAGTTTAAGCCAATAACTTTGGGATAACTTTATGCAGCAAAAAGTAACACACTTGGATATAAAGACTTCACATTTTAGACTCTAGCAGGTCAAGCCATATATAGTTCCTATTGAGGATTTCTACAAAGTTCCTCTTATTCTATTCCCAGTAAATCCTTATAAACAAGCAATCCTACTCTAAAAAAATAGGCTCTGTACTTTGCAACCTAAGAACTCATAAAATAGACTGTCCTGTAATTTCTTTGAAAAGGTTAAATTATGTTGAATATACTGATAGTTTTAGTATAAAATCTAGAGTTCACTTCATAATTGATGATGAAAAAGTGATGGAAAATGAGGTAAGATGTCTGTTCTTGCTACTCTTACCAGCATCATACTGGAGGTCCTAGCCAGTAGAATATGACAAGAAAAGAGCACACAGACAGCAAGGTAAAAAAATAAAACTATTTGGATTCTTGGGTTACATGAGTCTCTATAAAAACAAACAAACAAACAAATCCAAGGAATCTATTAAAACGTTCCTAAATTAATGGATTCAGTAACATATGATATATACAAATTATTTACCTGCCTATATTCTAAAAATGAGAAACTAAATAGATATTACAGAAATAGTATTTATTCAAGTAACTTAAAAGCATGAAATATTTAGGTATAAATCTAACAAAACATGTCCAGGATCTGTGTACTGAAAAAGAAAAAAACAAAGAAATTAAGGAAGACAAATAAATGGAGTGATAGACTGTTGCGATGTCAATTCCTACTAAACTTATCTATAGATTCAACATGACTTCAGTCAAAATCTGGTAGGATTTTTTGGTTGATTATATCAACAAGCTTGCTCAGAAATCTAAATCAATATGGTGATCAATTTTGGGTGTGTTGGTGGAAGAACCACAATGACCACACCTGAGGGGAGAAATCATATATTGTCCAAAACTTAATGATGTAAGGAAAAGGTACTACAGTTAAATTAAAAAAAAAAAAAAAGGTAAGAAACAAACAAACAAAAAAAACCCCTACACAGAAAGGGAAAGAAACTAGAATAGCTAAAACAAAGGAAAGGGGGAAAAAGCTGAAGGACTTGTTGTTATCTGTCTACTTAGGCTAGCTAAGATATGTAGCATGACACTGGCAAAAAGATGGACATGTAGATCAATGGAAAGAAAAGAAAGGTCAGAAATACACCCACATGTACATGACCAATTGATTTCTGACAAAGATGTCATGATAATTCAATAAAAATTTAAAAAGATGTTTTTTAAATAGTGGTTCTGGAACAAATACATATCCTATGCAAAAACAAGCAAACAAAAAACTCTTTATCCACACCTCATACTTTATATGAAAATAAATAAATTTAAGAGAATGGATCACACACCTAAATGTAAAACTAAAATTATAGAATTTCTATAAAACAGGAGAAAATCTTTGCAATAATGGGTTAGGCAAAGATTTTTAGATATCATAGCAAGAACATTGTTCATAAAAGAAATATTGAAAACCAATCTTCAAAATTATAATGAACACTAAATGAAATAAACATTAACAATAGGAGACTTTGACAAATATAAATGCCAAAGATGTTCAGGAATTTGTAGAAATCAGATGTACATACTCCTGAAAGTCACTGAGTTACTATTCTGGTTCATTCTGACTAATAACTTTGATCATTACACAGATGTAATTTGTAATATTTTTCATTTCATATATTATTTCAGATTTTTACAAACAGTAGACAATGACTAGAGGTAGAATGCCAACAAAACATTGATTTGAGAAACAAAATGAAGAGTAAGACTACAAATTCATCTCAAGATGATAACCACTAACTACTTCCATGAAGGGTAGCCCATCTAATCAAAATTATTTTATAAGACATAAAGTCTCCAGTATTTCAGAAAGCAATTTTAAAAAACAAGACAGTAAGAATATCAAGCCACCAGTAAAATCATCTTGGTATAAAATTCTCCATACCAGAATGTTATTTATAGAGAAGTACTTGTAAATGGCAGCTAAAAAGCTATTTCATCCTCTAAAAACAAAAATTCACAAATTATGGAAATAAAAGTCCATGTATTTTAAAGCAGAAAATGAGTGACCAACACTGACTTAAAGTTTTGTATAGTTTGGTATAAGCTATATTTTAATCTTTATTTAACATATATTTAATAAAACAAATAGTAATTCAGTGAATATATATTTATTAAACAAGGTGTAACAGACACCATCCTAGGTACTTAAAAGAAGGCAGTGCACATGAAAAATAATGATTCTATATTCTCAGCTTTTACATTCTAGAAAATGGTATAGAATATATAAACAGACATGAAAATGTCAGGTGAATAAGAGTTCTATAGTGTTTTTGTTTTCAAAGATTTATTTTATTTATTCATGCATACAAAAACTGGGATGTAAGCTATGGGGAGCAGAACAGGCAGGTCTAGTGAGAGGAGTATCAAGCAAGACGAGAGGTCTGCTGCACCCTGGCTAGGGATCAAACTCATGCCACAGTAGCTGGTGATAACCTGCTATCCCTGAGACTTTTAACCTCTGTGCTACCAGGGAGGCCCCAAGTTCTATAGTGTTTTTATGAAAATTAAGCAAAGTTGAGTGATAGAGCATGACCTTGAGTAGAATCAACTCAGATTTGATTGAAGGAAAGTCTCTGTGTTGATGACATCTACTCTGAGATCTGATATGTTAATAACCAAGATGTGAGGTGAAAGCTTTTCTATGGAAAAAAAGACAACTAGATGAAAACTTGCAGGCAAGAATAAATTTGGCATATTTGTAAAACAAAAATGATAAATATGTCTAGAAAATAATAGATAAGGAAGAAAGCATAATAGGAAACAAGATGGGAGAGGTAGAAAAAAACGCCCAAACTTGGACAATTTAGGTAAGTCAAAGGAAATTACTGCAAGTATTTAGATGAGGGAGTAACAAGATCTGATTTACATTTTCATTAAAAAAATATTCTGGCTGTTCTGAAGAGAAAAGATTTGTATTGGAGAAAAAACAAAACAGTTTTTAAGAATGTAAGCAGGGAAACCAGTTAGGAAGCTACCAAAGAAATATAAAAGAGGCAATGGTGGGAACTTGGACTAGTGCAGTAGCAGTAAAGA